AAAAAGAAACGGAACAAAAAACTAAACTAAAAACGTTTCTTTAAATTCCGGAGTAGTCAGTGTTGTCTGAAACAGAATCTGGTATGTACAGAAAAGAGAAGCAATGAGATTTATCTCCTGATTCTAATTGATGAATTCTGAATCCTGATTTTAAGAAAAAAAGTCGCTAGGGGGTCTGAAAACTCGCTAAATATAGCGACAAAGTCGCTAAGTTGGCAACACTGCTTTTCACAGCATTAGCGGAGAAAATGCATCAAAGATAGGTTAATGATCAGAGCGCTCCCCCGCTCCCATTTCCGCACATACAATACAAAGATCGCTTGTGATAACGATGTCTCACTCTGAGCAAACTTCGAACCCACACATTTTAACTGTTTTTAGCATGAATCACATAATATTTCTTAATTTTGAACTTATTTATCACTTTGCTTATGTAACTTAATCAGACTATGCACTAACTACTGACTTTTGACCAAAAGCCATAACAAACGGGAAACGGAGACTTAAGATGCCAAAGGACACCGGGGTGGTTATACCAACTTTAGCACAAACGTTAAGAACAGAAACAATTCAAACATTAACAGAAACCACATTACAGAGGTAATAAGAGCTCAAAAAAACTGAAAGCAATACACCAATAATTCTAAACAATAAAAGCCACAACTGAAACCAAAACAGAGGATTTTTAGTGATTCTAAAACACAAAACTCCAGGACAATGACACAAACACACAGTCAGTGGTTCAACGAGGACAACAAAGAATCGACTTGTTGCAGAAGCTGAAGTCTTTCAGTGTTTCCTTTAATATTTTCCTTCATGTGCTGGTTCAGTGGGTTGTATATGAAGGACAGACACAAACTTTGCAACATTAAAATCTTTGTCAAGATTATTTGAGTCCAGTTAAAAAACCCGTGCTCACCTTGGAAGAATCACACGGTTCATTATTCTCAAGTGAATTTATTTTATTGTCCTCAGGTCGGCACTGTCATGCGTCTCATGCATAATAGATGCATGAGAAGCAAACTACTCAGATTCCTTCATACGTTCTTTCTTTGAGCTGCTAAATGTCAAGAAAAGTAGTTTGTTCTTCTAAACACAAGTCCCTGTGGGGGCAGCTTTGCTGTGAGATTTTAACGTTGAGCTGCTCACTGACAAACTGAATGCTGTGCATTGAATGCTGGATTGTGACTTCTATGTCATTATTTATTGGGCCCTTCCCAAAAGAGCTACACAGGCCCGCTCTCTTGTGGGCCTGCTGCCTGCAGGAGGGGCCACAGGGCTTCGGTGCTGTGTGGATTCTCTTAGTGGGTGGAAACACCTCGGTGTCCTTCCAAAAGAGCTGGAGGGGGGGGCAGGGAGGCAGAGGTCTGGGCATCCCCAAATGTTTTAGTTATATGACTCTTTACTTTTCCAGATTCTTCATTTTTGCCTACAAAAGGACATGCAAAGTGCAAACCTTGATTACATTATCTAATTTCACCAAACTCAGGAGTCTAGGTGATTTCTCTTGTTGGTTTTCTCTAAAGAAAATATGGTTAAAACAGCAGCTGCACCTTTAAACTGCTGCGTGCGATCACTTCGACTTAGAGAATGCAGGTTTGAACCCTTAAGCTACAGCTAAGCTAATAACAACCACATCCATACAGAAATATTCATTGCATTTTGTCCCGAGGTACAGACTGTACCCAAGCACCGCAAATTGATAGTGTCCTTTTGTTCCGTAAAAGACAAACTTCTGCTGCTGTCGCTGGCCCAGCGCACGTCATAAAGACAAACAACCACAGCTCGGCTCGCGGTCACACAACAGAGTGCGGCTCGTCCGAGCCCAGCATCCACTTTCACCACCGGGGCATGTACGATGAAAGCCAAATGGTGAACCTCTCTTCTCTGTAGCGGGCATAAAAAGCTATTAGAGAATATTAGGCCTTCAGGGGGTCGCTCGCCTACTGACACTGATGTAGAGAGGGGAGAGAGGAAGTAGAGATAGGACGAACATCAGCCTAATGTAAAAAAAGTCTCTCTTGGTCATGATGGATGACGCCGAATGCAGGTAAGAGAGGCTCACTTGTGTTTTCTAAACTATTTACTGTGAGGTTTTGGACACGGGATAAAGGGAGGCTCAGAAATGTTGTTTTCCAACATCATGAGTCAGAAGGCAGGCGCGCCCCTGTCCGAGATGCCACACAGTGGTGTTTTTTTTGGCTGTTTTTCTGCCCAACAATTTCCTGTTTACTGCTGGTGACTAGATTCTACAGAACACGGGCGCAACTTTGACCGTGGTTCAGACGGCGAGATCAAACAGTCCTGAACTGGATCTGTGGGCTATCTTGTGATATTCAGCTTTGTCTAACGTATGAATGGTTTACTGTTTGGGCCACCGAGTGAACTCTGTCCTCTGAAAATGCAGAAATATTATTCTAAGTTAGACCAACCTCCAAAACCACAACAGCAAAATCTTTGTGTGAATCCTGATACTCTGGGATTTTCCACCTTCTAGATGAATCACTTTGTGGGGTCATTTGAGTAATCGCTCATGATAAGGGACTACCAGGAATAATATCTTTATTTAAAAACAGTAGCACCTTTCAAGAACAAGTTACAGTTTTCTTTACAAAGGCAAGAGCAGTGCACGACTGCACATCTCCTTCAAGGCTTAAAATGTTTGTGTAAAGCGTCTGAGTCTCCGGATATTTGGATGCGATCTATACTT